AAATTTCAATGTGAAAATCTCTGCAGAGGGCCGCCATTCGTTAATCTCGACAGACCTTGGAATCGCGCTATAAAGAGTGGACCCTTTTCTCCCCCGGACAGTTTTTCGTCATCCGAGATGAAGAACTCCATCGTTTTCGCGATTTTCATGATTTTCGCGATTTTCAGGATTTTTGTCAACTCGTTTAGGCAGTGATGGACCGAATCGCGACTCCCACCCCAGCGAATCGCTAAAAACGACGATTAAAGGCGACCGATTAATTTAAACCGTTTAATCAAAAGGCTCCTCCCGGAAATCTTCCTCCTCTCGGCCGTTTCCGCCGATTACGACACTTCCCCGTATCGAGAGTGCGTCTCTTTTCTTCCTACCCTCCTGGAAACTTCCGCCATTAAACTCCCGTCGCCTTCGTCTCCGTGCTTCTTCTTAGCCTCGACTTTTCCTTCTTCAGCGCTTCCGTCCCCGAGTTTCCATCCGTCGAGATGAGATATTCGAGGAAACGCCCCGTAAAGATTCGTTCCGGCGATTGCAGTTTCGTCCGTAATCCGTTTACACGGCAGAATAAAGGGCGCTTTCGTAAGCACGGACCGAAGTTGTTCCTCCTAGGACGTGTAATTTCACCCGGCGGTACTTTGGATTAGATTAGGTTAGCTCGAGTTAGATTAAATCGAGAAGGGTATTTAATCCGCGGGGCTAAAAACGAGGGTTTCCTAGATCGGTTTCCAAAGGGATCGTCAAAACGAAACCAGGACCATCAGGAGTTCGTCCTGCGAGAAGGCGCGACTGGCCGGCATGGTCCTTAATCTCGCAGGACACTCCACAGGAAGTACAGAGATCGTAACGGCGAAATCGAGGCAGGATCCAAGCCAGGATCCGAGAATCCTGTCGTTTGGTTACCATACCGCCGAGACTAATGCCTCGGAACCCTGCAGGATCTTCGGCACTCCCGCGGGATCATCCGATAGTGCTAATGGAATTTCCTCGGCACCTCCTAGATCCTGACCCGGTTTATCGTGGGTAAGTTAACCGACGGTCTTGGGAGTTAACTTCCCGTTCCCGAACGACGCGATTAACTGGCCACCGAGGCGAGGAGTTAAGAAATAAGAGCCCATAAAAAAAAATACCACATAACCACCCTTCCGACAAAGTCGCGTTTCCGAGTTTCGAAGATTCCCGAAGGAAAGGACCCTTAAGCCTCTTCTGGCCGAGCGGGAGGATAAACGGCGAGAAAAGGGAGAAGAAGGAGAAAGAGAGAGGCACCGCGAGATCGCCGTTAAATCTAGACATAAATCTGGGCCCCCTTTTAATTCCAAGCCTAGAAAAACAAGGGCCCCTCGCTCCCTGACGTATAATTTATCCGAGGAGGCCCTTCTCATCGTTCCTCGGGCGTTCCTTCGTCCTGGCAGGGCCGTCGTCGTCGATTTAATGGCCCCGCGGAAGACGGGCCCCTCGCGCGCCTCGCAGCGGCCGGATCGCAAAAGAAAGGGAGAAAACGGGCAAAAGGAACGCATTAGCCTCGCCGAGGCCCGATATTCCGTCGCGGACGTAACTGTAACCGTAACAGCGGTCACGGGCCACCTCCACTTCCGGCCCCTCCTTCGGGGCCCACCGCGGCGGTCGGTGACTTCGGGCCCAAAGAACCGCTTTACGGCCCTTTCCGGGGTTTCCTCGGGTCCCAAAGAAATTTCGCCATCCAGATGCCGGATGACATTGGACGACATCGGACGATCCCGGATAGGGCCCAGGAAAAGGGCCCGATGGACCCAGCCCTCCCAGGACGATGGCCACGGATGCTATTCTCCACTGACAATGAATCGTGGAGAATTTCCATGGGAACGTGAAAAATAAATACTTCTGCGGATTTCGTCGGAATGGGCCCCTCGACGCTTCGCCCGAAGGCAACGATCGGGGCCCAACAAGGCCCTCGCGAATGGCACATGACGCGAGCGGTGCCCGATTCCTCGAAACCACTCTTGCTTTCCTTCTCCTACGTTTTATCGACGTCCTCCTCCCCCCCAGGAGTCCCTCTTCTCCAGAAGTCGCGTGCACTCCCTGGGCCTCTCTTCTCCTCTCCGTCGAGGGCCCGTCCGAGAGAGGAGCGGCCAAATGGCGGCGGAAAAAAAGTTACAAGTCCACGCGAGATGTCTGGCTCTTCCGCGGGCCTGCAGCGAGTGCATCGGCCTCTCGTGCATCGGGCCCCCGCGACCCCCCCATCCGCCCTTTCGATATGCGCGAATTCTCTAAGATTAGCCACGAAGTGGCGAAAGGTCGGTCGGGAAAAATCGAAATCCATCGCGAGTCGAGATTTAGTCCATATTCGAGAGGAAAAATTGCAGCGGTTCGTCGGCAAGGTGGCTCGGGCCCTCCCTGGCATCGATCCAAAATGGCCGCCGTTCTCGCCCCGCACCTGCAACGCAGACCGCGTTTCCATAGCTCGCCGCAACAATGGTTCACGGCGTTATTGTATATTAACGTGGCTTCATTATTCCCTTCTTTCCCTCCGTCGATCGGTCGGACCTCCGGGCCTGGATTTTATATATTTTATAAATTATTAATTAATGGCTCCTCCGTATATTTGTATATTTAATTCAGGTGGTCGTGCACCCAATTTTGGGAGGTGCGTCATTAACTCGAGATTGGAGTCAAAGGGCTCGCGTTGAAATCTCGCGGAATATTCCGCTCCCGGAATCCTGACCGCAGAACCTTGACGGGACGGACCGGAAGAGCGGTTTCCGCGATTTTCCCCAAAAATCCTGGTGAGCTATTCCGGGTAAGTGGGAGCAGCTCCCGTAGGATAACGACGGGATCTCGGTCCAGGGATGAAGGCTGGATGCTGAGTCCGCACGTCCGGGCCGCCCATGAAGCGACAGGACTTGCGGTCCTGCGGGGCGGAATGCGAGAAAGGAGCGCGGCAATTCCGCCGCGGAAACCGCGGCAAGTCGCGACCGGGACGTCCGGGATTTCCATAACAGAAGGGAAACCGTGATTTGCCGGGACCAGGACCGCGAGAGTCTAATTTCCCGGATTTTCAGAAAATCCTCGCGTCATCATCCCCTAGGCGGAAATTACGCGGGCAAATTCCGCTCTCCTGGAGATCCTCGTCGGGGGGTTCCCGGGGGATAACTCCGGGCGATCGCGGCGGACTTTCGAGCCGTCCTTTTCCCCCAGAGAACCTCCTCGCCGGCAAACTTTCAAGCTCCCCGGAAGTTCTTAATTTGGAGGAGGGCTCGCGTATCGATTCGCGGCGCCGCGCCCTCGGGACGCTCCGGGATCCCTAGGGAGTCGAGTCCTCCCGGATCCTTCGGCGGATTTCCAGCTTCCTTCGGGAGCCACTTCAAAACTGGCCTAGTCGCGTTTCCGAGATTCTGCCGGTGGAAACCCAGTTTATCCCGAGGCAGGCTTTTACCGAGGATGCGAAGCCGTGCCAGAGATCCTTCGGGAAGCCACCTGTTCCCGGATTAACCGCGATTTCGCGGATTAACCCCACCCCGGCGAAACTCGATGCATATTCCATGCGCGACCTAGGACAACCCCGAAAATTGGTCCCACCGACGCGCCTAAATTCCTGGAAAATTTCCCGGTTCCCGGAATCGATCATCCCCCAAAATCCTGGAAATGGACTCTAGGAGACTCCGAGGATCATCTCCGGTATCGAGGTCGGGCAGCGATTTTTAACCCAGGCTCCACTCTGCCGAGATCGGTCTAAATTTTCGATTCTCCCAGCCCCTGTCCACGAATACAAGGTCTCAAGTTTTTTCCCCGGGTGCATTCGATGCACTATACTCTGGATCCAGAGGCTGATCCCGTCTGGCGCCCTCGCGGAAATCCCCGAAAATTCTGGAGTAATGGAGGAACCTTGTAGCCGCGCGCCGGCGCCGATCGCCTCGACAAACTTTTTCGCTCGTGTCTCTTCATCCCCCTTTATCCCCGGATAAACCCGTGCCTTCCTCCCCCGGGGGACGCCTTGTTCAATTTGCGATACTGCCGCGTCGAACTTGCCACTCGAAACCGGCGAGATATTCCCTAGCCTGATCCTGACTGACTGGCACCCCCATCAACACCATAGTTCCTCCCCAAAAAAAAATCCTCCCCGGTCCCTATTGTCTATACATTTTTTTTTCAGCACAGATCTGGATAAATAAACAATTTCCCAGGTTCGGGAACGCTGGAAAATCGTTCGCTGGAAGATTCCTGAATTTTCAAGTCGTATGACCCCGTGTCGCGTTTCCTTCCCTGGTCACCCTGTCTCCGCTAAGTATAAATTCACGTTTCTATACTTTTCCAGCAATATCCACGTCGATAGATGCAAATGCATCCGCAGAGGCGTCGGACACACGAGTGGCCTGTTGCACATGCACCCTCGCGCGATGGCTCGTGCACCCGGAGGAGCATCCTGGGGAGTGCACTCCAGGAATTGAACGCGCAATTAAATGACACTCGGTACGCGGGGTGCGGGACTAAATAGTCGCGGTTCTAAATTAATTAGTCGAATTAAGTGCCGGCAGCGACCGGCGGACCGAGGACGAGAGCTCTCCTTGCTGCAAACGGCTGACTACCTCCCTCGACACAAAGAGTCCTGCCAGGAGAAATCCGGTCGTCCTTTTTTCGGGGACCCGGGAGTAAACCGCGGTTTTATACAGCCCTTACTGCGGCGCTACTTGCGAGGCTCTCGGCTTTATCGCCGCTTTTAGGGTGTACGACTTTTATCGGCGCCCCTTCCGAATGAAATATTCCTCCGGGGCACCGGTACCACTGGCGACGTCGAAACGACCCTCTCTTCCGCGTCCTGGGAGCTCCGCACGACGTGCGGGAATTTTCCTCTGAGAAATCGAGGACGACGGAAGGAATTCCGAGGGGTTGTTCCTGAAAATGGCGATAATCGCGGTACCGACAAATAGGAATAATCGGGGAAGAACCCGAGGGGCTTCTTGACCCGAAACCCTGGGGGATGTCCTAAGCGATATCAAATGCCCATTAAAGGATTAAGGAAGATAAAAACTCACGTCTTGGGCGGAGAGGACGAGGGTGGTGGGCTCCTGTCTGCAGGCGACGTCCATCCCTTGTCGACTTCCCAGGGACTCCGTCGTGACGTCTCTGAGACGCACCTTCGGGAACCAGAACCGTCCTCCCCCGATGTTCCGTCTGTTCCGATATTTCCTCCAGGCGTGCCTGGAATGCAAGGCGCAGCTTCTATTAGAACTCTCCTTGAAGTTCCTATTCCGCGTTCCCCGCCTTTCCAGCTTTCCGGGGGAAGAAGAAAGGGTGAAAATAAAAGCGGGACCAGGGGGATCAATGGACCAATGGAGCCAATGGGACCAGCAAGACCAACTAGACCGACATCGTCGACATCGGCATGTGCCGGTAATTAGCACCGCGCTAATTCCGTTTACACCGTCCGGACTAAGCGCTCGGGGTGGTCCAGTTCGCTGCCAGCCGACCCTGTTTCATTTCAACAAAAGTCAATATTTCAGCTGGCCGCAATTATAGACTGCAGGCACCCTTGGACCTCCATGAGCCATCGGCAAGGACCTCTGCGTGGCAAAAACAGCGACCACCTTCAAGATAAATTCAAGCTCGAAAATTGCCATCGCGAAACCCCCAAAAACGTTGGCAGCTCCCTTCGAGCCCAACTTTGGCCCATCCCGGTCGCCGCTCTCGTAATTTCCTCCCTAAAAGCTCACTTTTCCCACTTTGTCCGCCTCTCGGTTGCACTCCAAGTGGCTGCACTTTAAACGCACTCGCAGCCAGATGCCACCCCCGCGCGTTAAATTCCGGTCTCATTAACGGCGCTGTAATCCCGCCAACGGGCTGACGTCCCGGTCCTGGGTCCCGGATGGCAGGGACTCGGGATTTATTGCTTCCATTCGAGGAGCCACTAAACATTCCACCTCGCTCCGTCTTTTCCGACCCCTGGAAACGCCACCTTCCCGGTGACGGGATCCGGGATCAGCGACGAGCTCCGTTCTAGATGGTCTCGAAATGGCCCTTGCGTCTCAAGCCGAGCTGGTACCTCGAGGGAAAAAAAAAAAAAATACGGAAGGGAGGTTTTCTCTCACCTAATCGCAAAGGCGATCCCCAGGGCGACCATCAGCGGCAGCAGCGTCCAGATGCACGCCAGGACCACCGTCCTCATGTCGGAGAAAGCGGCCAGGATGCCTGGAAAATTACCGGAATTAATTTTAAGAGCCACCTCCGGAGCCTGGAAATTGCATGAAAAATTTTATTTTCAGGAGAGAGTATCCAAGGATCGGGAAAAAATGTCACGAGAGAGATTTCAGGTCATGGCTGACTCCTGACACCGGGCAACTCCTTTTGCACTTGTGCAGCGCAACGCGCTGAGCCCCTTCGCCTCGCCTTTCGCCGAGGCGATCCGGTTACCCGGTGGCAGGGGCGTAAAGTAGAATCGTTGATCGAAAAGTATTATCAGGACGTTATCGGAGAATGAGAATCTCCCTGGGAAGCGCGGGGGAAAAACATGGCGGCGTGGAAACCCTGGAAACCCCGTCAGGTCACTCGGCCGTTGACAGGTGAACGTCATAACGAAACGTCGCAGCTGTCAACGCGGCTGTCAACTCCCCCAGCTGGGGCTTAAATTTATATCATCCCCGAGAGTTACGACGCGGCCGAAACGCCCAAGTTTCCCCGGTAGTTTTCCGAAAATGCCCCGATGCCCGACACGTGCATACCTGCGACTTCGCCCGCTGCACCGCCGAGAGGCTGTGTCAGCTGGGCGGACTCTATTCCGGATTTGATAACCTCTGGGACCGAGTCCCTGGCACGATGATGTCCATTTAAATGGGCCAACGGGGGTGGGGGTTCGCCGGGACATTTTCGCCGTAAAGTCCGAAATGGCGGTCTCCAAATTTGGGGCTCGCGTTTCGGAGCGCCGGACGATACGGGGAATGAAAAGTCGAGGATCCATCTTCCCGGAGTCCTCGAAACCTTCCCCAACTTATTATCCCGGTCTGCCTGGTCGCAGTCAAAGCTAACGCAATTTACATGCCAAGTTTACGGCGTTAGTCGTCATAAAAGTGGCGGCCCGGCCATAAAGCGGCGCTCGCGGAGTCGTGAAAAATCGCGCGCGTTTCTCTCGGGCCGATGCGTGCATCCAAGGAAACGCCGGAAGTTTCCGCAAGCCGCGCCTCGAGGAAATAAGTTCGAGCTTCCTGGGGAAACTTTGGGGTAAAACTTGGCCCCCGAGTCGCTTTTGACCACCCCTCCCCGAAGGGGGGCCCGAAGAAACGGGAAACGTCTTCCGAGACACGGCGGGCCCGCAAAATGGAGTTCCCGAATGAGAAACTTATCCCGCTGGCGGGAAACTCCCGGAAAGGAGGAAGCGCGCCTGCGGATTCCGGACGCGGAGGTCCTGCCCCCCAATTTCCTGGCGATGCCTTCCGGCGCAAAACTTGTCAAATGGAAATTCCATCGGCTTCGGGAATTGATCGTGGATAAATAGAAATCCTCATTCTCGTTTCAAAGCGAGGATCAGAACTCGTGGGATTTAAATTAAAGCGCAGGAAAAGCTCCCGAGGATGCCGAAGAGAGTCCCGAAACACCCTGAACAGTTGTGGAGATTGAAAAGGGAATTAGGAGCCACCGAAAGCTCGCCCGAAAGGACTGCGAAGTGGATGACGAAAATACGGAAGGAGCAGGAACGCACAACAATTTTATGCGTTTCCAATACTACCTCGTAACGTATCCCGGAATATACGCCCGTGTTGCGAATAAACTTTACTCCGCATGCGGAAAAACTCGATTAAGCCCATCCGTCAGACACGGAGGAGAGCTGGCGATAAAAACCGCGAAAAGTGAGAAAATCGAGAAAACTTCCATGAATTGGCATCCTCCATCATCGTTTCCTTTTCCACTTTCCCATCGAATTTCCTGGACTGGAATATAATTTTTTAACACCCCACGAACACCGTAAATCCCAAAAACGGGAGCACTTCAGGGCAGTTCCCAAATTTCGCTCCGACACGGGTCCAGGTTAGACCTAGGACCATAATAAAAATCCCTAGTGATGCCGATTGACAAAATATACACTAATAAAAAATACCCCAATATAATAAAGTGATCAATTGATCCGAGGATTCGCTGACGAGATGAATCGGAGGTGCAAGGAAGGATGCGAGAACGGATGGACGGAGGAGAAGCTGTGGTTGCTGGTGCATCTCTACAGGATGCACCCCTGTCTGTGGAAAAAGGACAATCCTTCCTATCTGGACGACGCGATGAGGCGATCGGCGTACAAGGACATCCACGACAGGATCCGCATCCCGGGTATCAGTCTGGTCGAGGTGATGCTGAAGATCCGCGAGATGCGCAGGATGTACATCCAGGAGCTGAAGAGGGTCCTTAGGGCGCAGGATGTAGGATCCTACCACGAACCTCGACTCGGTTGGTTCTGCGAAATTCACGACTTCCTGTACCCCCAATTGGATTTCCACGAGGCCGAGGAGTTGCGAGGTGAAGTTTCGCCCAAGTCCTGGGCCAGGACCTCGAGACTGATAAGACGCGTTTCAGGGGAAGGGATGCAGGAGTCCTGCGAAGATGGATTATGCCGAGAGGAAGCGAAGCCTACCACGAGTGCAAGGACCCGTGACAGACACCCGAAGAGGATAATCCTGGATGATGACCCCCGATCATGGCGGAGGTCCAAAACTGGCTGGTCCTTCGACCCCAGTCCCAAGGACTCCAGGAGCCATCCTCCGACTCGGAGATGCGTCACCAGCCTGCCAAATTGCCCGGCCAAAATGGCAGAATCCACGATCCCCTCCTGGACCTCGTCCAGCAATAACCAGCTCCTCCAGAATTTCCAAAAAACGCAGAGAACTCTTCGGAAGGACCCGATAGATCAACGTCTGCTCGCACCTCCCTCCGAGGACGAACTATCCTACGAAATCCGGAAGACTATCGACGACCTGGTGAAATTTTCGCACCATTCAACCAACATTTGATATTAATAATATTAATTTAACAGCACCCGAGTTTCGAGTCCTGTCGCACCGGCCTGACCTATTGCATCGTCAGCGACACGTCCTGCACCTCCCAGGACATGGAGAACGATCGATTCGATCTTTTTGCCGTGAACGTGGCACGTCAGCTGAAGAAGATGGGCGCGAATTCCGCCAGGAAGGCGCAAGTGGAGATCCAAAGGATCTTGAAAACGCTCATGCCCCAGGAATCGCTGAACACGACATCTCTCTTCAAGGTATCCTTCCACGGTCTTGAGATGCAATAGTCCCTACAACCAGGATCCCCCAATTTTTTTTTTTTTTCTTTATCAGCAAACGAAGTGCGTGCGATCAGCGTCCAGGATTCATGCAGATCGGCCCCAGGACCTCATGAGACCCGACCTCTGCAGGAGGGTCAATGGGTCCTCACAAAGGAGACCTCGCTGATAGTAGGAAAGCAGAGTTTCCGAATGCCAAAGGACCTCCAGGTAGTAACCGAGCGGAGCACTGCAGTCGTCTCGTAAATATCGATGCACTCCTGCATCCAGGTTACACACTTGGTGCTCGACGTTTACGGTTCCTCGAGCGGAAGGTGTCACCCCGTTCCACCATCCCATATCTGTCTTCGCCCTGGCTGGCAAGAATTCCCCCTTCCTATGTGAAAGGCATTCCACCGTTGCACAGGGAACTAGGGAATTTTTCCACCTCCCTAGGGACCACCTACCCCATCGAAACCTACAATTCGACCATGGGATGACACCTTGAAGGGAAACGTTTCACCGTTTAGCGCAAAATGGCCCGAGGGCGTTCAGGCTTGGCAGGAGCCTTGCAGACACCCGGTCTAAGGACAAAGGCCAAGATGGAGGATATTGGAATCCCGTTGGAGGCTGCATCGTCCTCACGGATCAAAGGTCGACCGGCAGGGAAGGTAAGATGGCTTATCCGGCGTGCGATGCCACCCATCCAGATAGAGGGTGAGGGGAATCCGATTTAGCTCGCGGTTGCCGAGAGTAGCAAGGACCTGGTACCACGTACCGCGCCGTTCTCCAAGGCGTGGAGGATTTAGAAATTGAGAAAAAATAAAACAAATTCCTCGAAAATTTCGTTGACATGAATTTTTCCCCCTTAGTAAATTTTCTTCCCCCAGAAAATTTCTTTCCCACGCAACGAGGCAAAATTTAGGGAAATCAGAGCTTCACTCACTGTAATCGAACTCCTCGTGTTCGCCCAGATACCCGGTGGCATTGTAGACGTGATGGTGATGGTCAGGCCTGGGAGTGCTGGTGGCCGGAGGTCCTGGCAATGCCGAAGAGGATCCTGTCGGGATGCTGGCAGTGCCCCTAATCGCCGCAGCGACCGTGGGCACCATCGGAGCCTCCATTTCTGAGAGATGGACTTCGGGGTCCCTGCTCGAGTTCCCAACAAATTGGACCATCGAGGTTGGGGAACCCTCCAGGGTGGGCCTGGACTCATGGACCCCCTGCGAGTGTTCTAGGATTTTCCCGGATCACCCTGAAGTCGAGACGGACCCAGGTCGGGGAGGGATCCTCGGCTCCTTTCTGAAGATCCTGGCGATCACTTCCATCTGCCCGGTCCCGCTGGAAGGACCAATCTCCAGGACCCCGAAGAGCACGGCTCCCTCTTCTCCCGAGTGCGATTCGACATCGAGAAGCTGCAACACCCAAAGGACCAAATTGAACCTCCGAAGGACGACTCCACCGACGTCGAACGGGCTGAAAATTAATTCGTTGCCGATCGATCTCCGGATATGTCCTAGCAGACCTCCTAGATCCTCCCAAACGTGCCTAATTACTAATTATGGATCACTCGAGTCGGCCTCGACATGTTCTCGGACAGATTTCGGCGCACCCCCGCACGGCTCTTCCGCCAGGACGTCCCCCGTAATTACACTCAGTAGTTAGTCCTCCCGGTATGGTTGACAATTAGCTCGGCTCGAAATCATTATTCATAAGCCCGGCACCCCGTGTGCGCACCTCGTTAACGCCGACCTGCAGCGGACCGAAGAATTAACGAGAGGCGCCAAATTCAACGCTGGCCACCCCAATTGCGATGCAACGAAAAAATCACCAGGAACGCCTTCCAACCCGTAGTAGAAAAAAAAAAAAGGGAAAAGAAATTCACGTCGCACTTTCAAAGAGTCGTTTCCACCCCTATCGAG